CCCTCCTCCAGATTGGCTCTACTTCGGGGCTCCCTCTGCTCCGTGGACGTGGACAGAGATGGCAGCTCCGACCTGTCCTCATCGGGCTCCCCCATTACTACGAGCCGACCCGGGGGGGCCAGGTGTCCATGTGCCCCTTTCCCCGGGGGGTGAGTGGCTGAGGAGGCCTGGCTGGGTGGGGCCTGGGTGTGGGGTGGAGGGGTGGCCCAGGTTGGGACTGGCACTGTTTCTGCTCTGCAGAGGGCCAGGTGGCAGTGCCGGGCCATTCTCCGTGGGGAGCAGGGCCACCCCTGGGGCCGCTTTGGGGCAGCCCTGACCGCCATGGGGGACGTGAATGGGGACAAGCTGACGGACGTGGCCATCGGGGCCCCGGGGGAAGAGGAGAACCGGGGTGCTGTGTACCTGTTCCACGGAGCCTCGGGGCCGGGCATCAGCCCCTCCCACAGCCAGGTGAGGCCCTCTTCAGCCCCCTTCGCATTTCCTAGATTCACCTGCTGCTGCTCCCACGCCTGCCTTGGCAGGAGCCCTCCCCGCCTCCTCCCGGCGGCGCATTTCCCTGTCGTCCGCCAGGCCCGTGAAGATGATCTCCTCTCCTGTGGTTCCAACAGACCTCAGTCAGCCTTGGTGGGCGGCTGATGGTAAAGAGCCTGCAGGCCCATGTCAAACGCCTGGCCAGCCAGGTCAGCTGTGTGCCTTCAGGCAAAGGGCCGAGTTAGCTTTCGTTTCCTTCTATGAAACATTAAATAACAAACCACCTCCATGGGCTTCGTGTAACTATAGCTCAATGGGAGTCCATTCATCACCCGTTTATGTATAAACACACAAATTAATAACTGGCTCTATTGTGTTCCCATTGTTACGCTTTTATTTTGTCGTCAACCTGCACCCTCATGATGAGGGGCCCCAAAGCGCTCCCCTCTCTTTGCCCAGGGTCCCTGAGACCCTCACTCTGCCTGCCTTCCATCCCACCCCCATCCCCTCTGTTCCGTTTCTCCACTCAGATCTGATTCGCTGCAGCCTCCTTCCCAAATCTCTCCATCGCTCCCCCTGACCTCTACTTCTCCCCTCCCCGGCCAGCGCATCGCAGGCTCCCAGCTCTCCCCGCGGCTCCAGAGTTTTGGGCAGTCGCTGAGCGGAGGTCAGGACCTCACCCAGGATGGACTGGCAGACCTGGCTGTGGGGTCCCGAGGTCACGTGCTGCTGCTCAGGTGACAGCTCCCACATTCTCCTGCTGGCTGTGCGTCCGACCTGCCCTTCCTGGTCCTCCCAGACACAGAGTCCTCTCCTCAGCCCTGTGCGTCCCCCCAGGAGCCGGCCAGTGCTGAGCGTGGGGGTGGCCATCAGATTTGCCCCCTCCGAGGTGGGGCAGGCTGAGTACCTGTGCCTGGAAGAGGCGCCCTCCCCCCTGGAAGCCGCGAGCGCCACAGTCTGTCTCACTATCCACAAAAGCTCACCTGACCAGCTAGGTGAGTTTCCTCCCCTGGACCCAGGCCCTCAGCCCCCAAGGCCCCAGCCCTATCCTCAGGACAGAGGGTCCCTGAAGCCAAATCTCACTTGCATATCCATTTCTGCTGGTGTTGGAAACCTGGGTCCCTTCTAAGCCCCCCCGCCCCCCGCAAGCCCAGAAAGGCCTGTCTCCAGCATCACTCTGGAGTCTGCGCACCCCTCTCACCCGCCTAGCCGCTGCCTGCCTGGAGGCCACCCTTCTTCCTACTCCACTTGGAGCTCTTCCCGCGTCTGTTCTTGCACCTTCCCATCCTCCTCCCAGTGATTAGCCCTAACATGCAAACCTGGCCTCCTCAGTCCCTGCTTAACACCCCTCCGCTCTCCCCTGGCCTTTGTTTGTGAAGACCAAAGCCCTCTCCACATGCCTTCAGTGACCTGGCCCCGTTCCCCCTTAATCCACACGGACCATAGAGACTGCCCTGAGCCCACACCCTGCGCCAAGTACTGTGCTGGACACTGGCAAGGAGTGGGGTGGTGGGACACGGGCGGTTAGACTATGAAAGAAAGCTACGACAGATCCTCGGCTTCGAGGAACGTAATGTTTAGCTGAGAAATCAAATCTAACTCACCCTGGAACAACTACGACATGAATACATGAAAGAACGTTTGAGGTTCCCTTTCACAGTCTACCTTCCATCCTCCTCCACTGCAGGGGACGTCCGCAGCTCCGTCAGGTATGACCTGGCCTTGGACCCAGGCCGTCTGATTTCTCGCGCCATTTTTGAAGAGACCAAGAACTGGACTTTGACGCGAAGAAAAATCTTGGGGCTGGGAGAGCACTGTGAAAGCCTGAAGTTGTTTTTATCAGTGAGGACTTTGGGTTCTGGGAAAGGGGGAGGGAGAAGGAGGGGGAGCCCAGGCTGGCATCCCTGTTCCCCGCTGAGTGAGGTGGGCAGCGGGAGAGGGGGCCTGGGGCTGGAGAGAGGGAAGTTGGGGTCAGACAGGCTGGCTCCACAGCGCGGGGAGGGCCCTGTGTGACAGCGGGAAATGAGTCCAGTGGAGGAGAAGCCCGCGGCGGCGGGGAAAGCAGGGGGGCAGAGAGTGGGTTCTGAAAAGCCCATCCCCCCGCAGGGCTGTGTGGAGGACGTGGTGAGCCCCATCGTCCTGCGGGTCAACTTCTCCCTGGTGGGGCAGCCCATCCCCTCCGCCCAGAACCTCCGCCCCGTGCTGGCTGTGGGCTCCCAGGACCTCTTCACTGCTTCTGTGAGTCTCGCGATGAAGTCCCAGGGATGGGTGGCCGTCCATGTGTCCCCCTGTGCGTAAGAAACTGCAGTAGCTCCCAATCGCCCACCGACCACATCAATTCCAGAAGGGCACCGCCCGATTCCGAGACCCTCTGTCCGCTGGGACCCTACACATGCATCAACTCTGGTTTTCGTTCCTAACTTGTCTCGCTCCTACCCCTGTGCCTGTGACCGTGTTGTATCTCTTATTTGGAAGACATTTTTTTCTCTCCACCTCAACCATCTTTAGTCCCTAAAGCCCCAGTCTTTTCTCCCTTTCTTTGGGAATCCGCACTCGGCATCTGTCTCTTCTTCCCAGGCCTCGAAGCATGTCATGGTGACGTGCCACTTGTCGCATGACTGGATCATAGCCATCTGCACCCACCTCTGTGGCTCTCTTGGCAAGAACCAGGTCTAATCCACCTGTAGTTTCTACCTTTCCTACCTCTCCAAGCCCATCCAACCCAAAACCTGTCCCAGTATCGACTCTTAACAACATCTGTTGAATAGCTCTTCCAGTGTGAGTTAGATTTGATTTCTCAGCTAAACATTATGTTCCTCGAAGCCGAGGATCTGTCGTAGCTTTCTTTCATAGTCCAACTGCCCGTGTCCCACCACCCACCCCGTGCCAGTGGCTAGCACAGTGCCTGGTGCAGGGTGTGGGCTCAGTAATAGTCAATGTTGAGGAGTGCTCTTCATGAGGGAGTTGGAGAAGGATTAAGACGTGGATGGAAAGAGACATACTGTTTTGCTGCAGCTCCCCTTTAAGAAGAACTGTGGGCAAGATCACCTCTGTGAAGGGGACTTGAATGTCAACCTCAGCTTCTCAGGGTGAGTGCTATCTCCTGCCATATCCAGGCACCCAAGCTTTGGGGTCTCCTACCAGCAGGATGAGAAGTGCTTGTGTTCCCCTTTGGCTGGCGTTATAACCGAGAAACAATTGCAATGTTATCAGCTAATAGCTCATGAATTCCCAGTGTCCTGCCCCTGCCCCTGCCCCTGATCCAATTCCAAACCCTTTCCAGTGAAATCTCTCTCCAGTGCTGTATTCCTCCTTCAGCCTACAGGCCCTGGTGGTGGGAAGCTCTCTAGAACTCAACATGACAGTGGCTGTGTGGAATGAGGGTGAGGATTCCTACAGAACTGTGATCAACTTCTACTACCCAGCAGGGCTGTCCTATCGACGAGTGCTAGTTACTCAGGTAAATAGCTCCCTTGGGCTCTGGTTGGCTGGGACCTTTGCCCTGCCCTGGGTTATAGTAGGTTCTTTTTATGTCTCCTATGATAAAATATAAAACACACGGAAAAGTGTGTGAAGCAGATATATACTTTAACAAATAATATTAAGTAAATGTATATGCAATTAGCACCCCCGTGGGAAATAAATCCAGGTCAAGAAATAAAAGAGGGCTAGCACCCCCAGAAACCCTGTCAATATGCACCTTCCTCATCATAACCTCACTCTCTCCCCAGTGTAATCACTACCTGACTTTGTGACAATCAACTCCTGGTATTTCTTATCGTTTTTACTGCCCATGAGTACATCCCTAATACTGTTCAATTTTGCCAATATTTGAACTTTATTTGAATAGAAGCATGTTACTTTTTTTGTCTTTCTCCTTTTCTTTAATACTATGTTTGTGAGATTCATTCATGTTGTTGCTTGTGGCTGTGGAACACTTTCACTGCTATATAGAAGCCCTTTTGTATGACTATACCACAATTTATTTACCTATTCCATAACTGATGGTCATTTTGTGTCCTGATTTTGGCCATGACCATTCTTGATCATATATTCTGGTGTGCCTATGCATTAATATTTGGAAGTATGTACCACATGTGGGATTGCTGGATCATTGGGTATGTGTGTCTTCAATTTTCATAAGTAAAGCCGGACCATTTTCACTTATTGACACTCTATCAGTAGTGTATGAGAGTTCTTGTGACTTTCATCCACTCCAACACTTGGCATTGTCCAATTTTTTAATTTTCATCTATCCAGTGGGCGGGTAATGATATTTCCTTGCAGTTTTAATTTTCATTTCTCTAATAAAGTTGAACAACTTTTCATATATTTCCTGGTCACTTGGGTGTCTTCTTTTAGGAAGTTCCTGTCCAAGTCCTTTTCTTATTCTTCTATTGAGTTGTCCACCTCTTTCTTATTGAGTTGTAAGAGTTTGTACATATTCTGGTTCCTACTCCTTTTCCAGTTACATGTGCTCAAATATCTTTTCTAATAAATATCTTTTTAAAAAAATATATTTTATTGATTTTTTACAGAGAGGAAGGGAGAGAGATAGAGCGTTAGAAACATCGATGAGAGAGAAACATCGATCAGCTGCCTCCTGCACATCTCCTACTGGGGATGTGCCCGCAACCCAGGTACATGCCCTTGACCGGAATCAAACCTGAGACCTTTCAGTCCGCAGGCCGACGCGATATCCACTGAGCCAAACCGGTTTCGGCTAATAAATATCTTTGTTGTTTGTTTTTTTCAGGCTCCTTATAGTGTCTTTTAATAAATGTCTTAATTTGATTGCGGTTGATTTTTATAAATCTTTAGTATATTTTTAAATAATTTTTTATTTTTTAATCATAGTTGACACAATATTATATTAGTTTCAGGTGTACAGAATAGTGATTAGACATTTATATAATTTACAAAGTATGCACCTCCATAAGTCTACTACCCATCTGACACCATACATGGTGACTACATTATTGACCACATTCCCCATCCTGTACCTTACATCCCCATGACTGTTTTTATAGCTGGCAATTTATACCTTAATCTCCTGCCCTCCTTTTCTTTTTGTTAATCCTCACCAGAAGATATTTTTTCCATTGAATTTTAGAGAGAGTGTAAGGGAGGTAGGAAGGAGGGAGAGAGAAAAAGAGAGAAAGGGAGAGAGAGAAACATTAATGTGCAAGAGACACATTGATTGGTTGCCTCCTGTAACCTCCCCGACTGGGGCTAGGATTGAACCTGCAACCCAGGTACATGCCCTGACCAGGAATTGAATCCATGTCCCTTTGTTGCATTGGCCGACACTCTATCCACAGAGCCACACTGGCCAGGGCCTCTTCCCCTTTTTCATTCATTCCCCCAAACCCCCTTCCATCTGGAAACCATCAAAATGTTCTGTAGCTTTAAGTTTGTTTCTGTTTTGTTTGCTTGTTTTTTAGAGTCCACATGCAAGTGAAATCACATGACATTTATTTTTTTCTGTCTGACCCATTTCACTTAGCATAATACCCTCTATGTCCATCCACGCTGTTGCAAATGCAAGATTTTATTCTTTTATGTAGCTGAGTAATATTCCTTTGTATATATGTACCACATCTTCTCTATCCATTCCTCCATCAAATTGACACTTAGGTTGTTTCTATATCTTGGTCAATGGTAAACAATGCTGCAATGAACGTATGGATACATATGTCTTTTTTTAAAAGTATATTTTTATTGATTTCAGAGAGGAAGGGAGAGGAAGAGAGAGACAAAAACATCAATGATGAATGAGAATCATTGATCAGCTGCCTCCTGCACATCCCCTACTGAAGATGGAGCCAGGAGCCCAGGCCTGTGCTCTTGACCAAAATCAAACCCAGAATCCTTCAGTCTGCAGGCTGACGCTCTATCCACTGAGCCAAACTGGCCAGGCCAATGCATGTGTCTTTTTGAAGTAGTGTTGGGTTTCTTTAAATAAATGCCCAGACCTGGCATTGCTGAGTACTTCTTTATCTCTTGTTATAGCTTTTGTTTTAAAGTCTATTTTGTCTAGTATAGTTCTGCTACCCCAGCTTTCTTTTCATTTCCATTTGCATAAAATATCTTTTCCCATCCCTTTACTTTTAGTCTGTGTCTTTCATTCTGAGGTGGGTATCTTGTAGACAGCATACAGATGAATCTTGTTTTCTTATCCATTCAGCTACCCTATGTCTTTTGATTGGAGCATTTAATGCATTTACATTTAAAGTTATTACTATGTTCTTTAGCTAATCCCTTCAACTTCTTTATTCAGTCACCAAAACATTTAAATAAAGTCATTATTGATAGGTATGTAGTTATTTCCATTTTATTATTCATATTTTTTATTTCTCCTCCTCCTCCCTGCTCCCTCCTCCTCCTCCTCCTCCTTCTCCTTCTCTTCCTCCTTCTCCTCCTCCTCTATTACATACAATAATGATGTTTTCCATCATTATTTCTTCAAATAGGTTTTCAATTTCTTGCTCTCTCTTCTCATTCCAGCATCCCATGATGCAAATGCTAGTACACTTGGTGTTGTCCCAGAGACCCCTTAAACTGTGTGTTTTCTGCTACCTTGTTTTCCAAACTGCTGATTTAACCCTCTGCTTCATCTAAACTACTGTTGATTCCCTCTAAGGTATTCTTCATTTCAATTATCGTATTCTTTATTTTTGACTGGTTCTTTTTTTGTTTTCAGTCTCCATCTGTGTGTTTCCCATCTCACTCAGCCACAATCCCTGCTGGTTATCACAGCCAGAAGTTAAGGATGCTTTTCTTCCTGGACTGGGGAGCCTGGTGTGGGGCTGAGACTCCTTGCTCCTCAGAAGGGACCCCCACAGCCAAAATATCCCTCCTGATTTTTAACCACCACACATAGGTTAGGGACCAACCTGCTCCATGTCTGCACCCCTCCTACCAGTCTCCATGTGGTTTCTCCTGTATGCCTTAGTTATAGGACTTCTATGCAGCTCGTCTTTGGGTGCTTCTCAGTGATGGTTGTTCTGTAGTTTGCCTGTAGTTTAGATGTGGCCATGGGAGGAGGTGATCACAGAGTTTACCTGCTCTGCCATCTTGACCGGAGGTCCTCCTTTAGTGTTTTTATGTGTGGATCTTATTTAAGAAATATTTCCCTCCTTCAAGGTAATGAAAAAAAATACTCCCTTATATTATCTTCTAAAAGCTTTATAATTTTGCCTTTTGACATTTAAGTCTTTTAGTTGGAATTTATTTTAATGGATGGAGTGAGGTAGGGATCCAATTTTATTGATTGTTTGTTTGTTTTTGTATGGGCCAATTTTCCCGGGATAATTAGTTGAAAAGTTTGTCCTTTCTTCTATTGCTCTGTGATGCCACCACTGTCAGATATCAAGCCCATATATGTATGTGGGTAACTGTTTTGAATTCTTTCTCCTCCTCTGGAAGCAACCCCATCAGCGCCCACTACACCTGGCATGTGAGGCAGTGCCCACAGGGAGTGAGAGCCTGAGGAGCAGTAGCTGTAGCATCAACCACCCCATTTTCCGAGAGGGCAGTAAGGTCGGTGCTTACCCCCAAATCCTCATCACTCTTCTCACTGTCCCGACCCACGTCCTTCCCTCAGTTCCCCATAACCTTCCCTCTCCCCGTTCCTTCTTTCTTCTTCCATCAGGGCACCTTCATGGTCACATTTGATGTTTTCTACAAGGCCACCCTGGGAGACACGTTGCTTCTGAGGGCCAATGTAAGCAGGTAAGCCAGACCAGGTATGGTGTGTCCTTCACCCTCCAGTCTCCTGTACCAGCCAGAGATTCCTCTCTTGGTTTCCTTCCCAACTGGGCTTCCCCCTCTCTCCAGTGAGAATAATAAGCCTACAACCAACAAGACCACCTTCCAGTTGGAGCTCCCAGTGAAATATGCCGTCTACACAGTGATCAGCAGGTGACTAATCCCTGGCCCTTCCCTTGGACCTCTGACCTTCCTCCAAGGCTAGTACCTCCCCCTGCAGCCTGCTCTTCTGGGGATGGGTATCTAAACTAGTCCCTCTGATTCCTCACATGTAAATATTTGTGACCCGCCATATGCTTACACCACAATACCACATGCAGACATATCTGTTGTTGCACTTCACTTTCTTGCACTTCACAGATACTGTGTTTTTTACATATGGAAGGTTTGTGGCAACCTCAGGTCAAGCAAGTCTATCTGTGCCATTTTCCAACAGGTTCGGATGGTTAGCATTTTTTAGCAAGGATTTTTTTTAAATTAAGGTATGTTTATTGTTTAGACATAATGCTATTGCACACTTAATAGACTACAGTGTTCCTGGAAACATAACTTTGATAGGCACTGGGAAACCAAAAGACTCGAAGGACTCAATTGCAATATTTGCTTTATAGAGGTGGTCCGGTTCCGAACCCACAATATCTCTGAGGTGCGCCTGTGGCATAATTCTTGCTTCTTCTCTGACGACCTGGCCTGCTGGGGGCACGCACACCCCTGGCTGCTGCTGTGTGCCACCTCCTCTCTCTAAGATGCAGCCTCCCTTTAACCTGGAGCCAGTCCTGTCCTTTGTGCTAAACAGGCGTGTGGCGAAGCTAAGCTACTAGACTGAGACCGGGGCTCTTCTGAGACCCGGAGGCAGGATATGGTCTTTGCCCACACAGAGGAAAGGAAGGTCAGGTTTTCAGAGGAGAGCGGAGGTGTGAGAAACGGTGGTGAAGGTCTCTAACAGCCCAAGGCCAAGGCAGGCCACAAGAAAGGCAAGTGCAGGGATGCTGCTCTGGGTGTTGAAGGTGGAGGAGTAGGGGCAGGCCAGGCGGGAAGCAGGGCAAGGACTCCACAACCTGGCTAAACTCCAGAGGCTTAGAGACTTGGTAGAAACTTGCAATGTTGCCATGGGACAGTTTGCTGCTGATGGGTGAATTTTTAGGGGAACGAGGGATGGGGGTCAAGCAATGTCATTGCCCGTCCAAACTCTGTGTGTATTTCCCCTTATGTCCATGGGAAAATACTAAAACTTATCATAAGAGCTTATAGTGATATGTGCTTATGATGTGCCAGGCATTGAAGTACTTCACATGTATTTATGTTTATTTAATCTTTCTAGCAACTCTATGATATAGTTATTGTTACCCCCTTTTTACCAACAAAGAAATCAAGGGGTTAAATAACTTGCCCTGACATTCAGCTGGTAAGTGGCAGAACCAGGAGTGAAACCTAGATGGTCCAGAGCTTATGCCAGCGGCCAGACAACATCTTCTCTAAGGAGTGGGAAGGTCGAGTGACTGACTCAAATATGAAAAGAGATTTAGAATGAGAAGATTTTAAGGTGGAAAACTGATGCAGAGAAGGGGGTCTGGGTGGGGAGCAGAGAGGAAGACTAACAATACTAAAGGAAACAAATTCTCACATTTATGCACTGCTGCAAACATCACAACTCCATTATAGGTTGCCACTATTCTTAGCAGCCCTACTTTAAAGAGTAAAAAACTACAGGGCTCCAGAGAGACCACATAGTTTGCCTTAAATTACTCATGCAGGAAGTGGGGACTTGAGCTGTGAATGCAGGTGGTCGGCTCCTGCGTGCTCGCTCGCTCTCTCTCTCAATTGATTTCAGAGAGGAAGGGAGAGGGAGAGAGGGATAGAAACATGAATGATGAGAGAGAATCACTGATGGGCTGCCTTCTGCACTGTCCCTACTGGGGATCGAGCCCACAACCTGGGCATGTTCCCTAACTGGAAAGCAAACCATGACCTCCTGGTTCAGGGGTTGACACTCAACCACAAAACCACACTGGCAGGGCTGGCTCTTATGTTCTTAATCATCAAAGTGACAGCCACAGCTGTGGGGTCTGCAAAAGCAAGATTTATGACTTAACTGTTGACTCTCCAGAGCCAAGCACACAGCCTGGCACAGGGTAAATGTTTACTGGAGGAGGCCATGGGTGGATGGATGGATAGGTGGATGGAAGGATGGATAAGTAAATGGAAGGATGGATGGATGGATGGATGGATGGATGGATGGATGGATGGATGGAAGAAAGGATGGGTGGATAGGTGGATGGATGGATGGATGGATGGTTGGATAGGTGGGTGAATGGATGGATGGATGGATGGATGGATGGATGGATGGATGGATGGATGGATGGATAGGTGGATGGATGGACGGATAGGTGGATGGATGGACGGATAGGTGGATGGATGGATAGGTAGATGGATGGACGGATAGGTGGATGGAAGAACGGATGGATGGATGGAAGGATGGAAGGATGGAAGGGTGGAAAGCCACCTGCAGCCAAGAACATTTATGTCCAGTCCATGAGCTTGTGTCCATGTGCCATCTTCCATCACGTTTATTTAACTGCCCGGGATAGTCATGTCTATTTTCTTCATCCCCATTTTGGAGGCGCTCATGCTCCATTTTTTGAGGGATCCACTCATCATTCCTGCGAGTCTCCTTAGGCTTATGTGTTCTTACAGTAGCCTGAGCAAGCCTCACCTGAAGTCAACCTTAATCTACTAGAGCAGCAGTTTCCAACCTTTTTTGTCTCATGGCGCATAAACTAATTACTAAAGTTCTGTGGCGCCCTCAGGAGATATATGTTTTGCCAATCTGACCAAAAATAGGTATAATTTTGATTCATTCACATCGGCTTGCTATTGTTGTGTTGGCCATTGTCATTTTTTTTTTTTTTGACAATCTAAGGGAAAAGAGATCAGCGCTCCTGACTAAACAAATAGGTATTGCATGTTTTAAAAATTCTTACAGCACAGATTAAAAATTGGGGCTAGAGAAAGCAAATCTACAAAAAGCATGTAAACACCTTTTTCCCATGGGAAATGTTCAAATGTTATGGGAGGTGATGTTTAAGTTATGCCTTTAAGTGAAAATTTCCAGAAGGGGAGTGAGTAAAGGCAAAGGCATGGGGATCTGAGAGAGCCAGGGCACCCAGGGACGAGCTGGCAGTTCTGGTGAAGAGGGCAAAGGGCACGGGGGAGCTGAAGCTGAGGCTGCAGGGGCTTGTGGGAACCCTGGGTCCCCTGCGGATGGTCCCAGCGCCATCTCACCAACAAGCCCTCTTTCTCCAGGAAGGAAGAATCCACCAAGTACTTCAACTTTTCCACTTCTGATGTGAAGAGCAGGAAAGAAGCTGAGCATCGATATCATGTGAGAGGCCAGGAAATATTCGTGTCTGCCCTCCCATGGCGCTGCTGACATTGAAAGTTGGTGGGAAAAGGTGGAGAGGACCTGAGGGCTAGAGCCAAAAAGAAAGAAAGGGGATTTGGGATGCTCCGGGGGCCACCGTAACGTTGTCTTGATTTTCTGCAGGTGAATAACCTGAGTCAGCGGGATCTGGCCATCAGCGTTCACTTCTGGGTTCCCGTCCTGCTGAACGGCGTGGCTGTGTGGGATGTGGCTGCGGTGGCCTCCTCACAGGTGCCTGCCTGGCTCGCCTCAGTGTGCAGGGCTGATCCCACTGTGCCTCGCACCCTCTCGCCAGTGACATTTTGATCATTCTGTGGCTGTTTCCCTCTCACTAGAATCTCTCTTGTGTGTCAGAGATGGAACCTCCCCAGCATTCTGACTTCCAGACTCGGATTCCAAGGAGTCTTGTGCTGGTGAGCAAGGCCCTGGGCTCCCTTCTAGGACCAGCAGCTCATCGGGGAACACAGGGACATGCAGAGCTAGCTTGCAGAGCTATCTATAGGATAACCCCAAAAATGTATGAGGGCAGTGTTTATTAAAATACAGTTCATTTTCAAAGTTGAACTATCAACTGTGAAAGTATATACACATTTTTTGGACATCCTGTGTATGTCCTATAATTGTTAACCTGTTCCTCACCCCAAATCTGACACTTTTTCTCGACTTGTGGTTCCTAAGTTAAGGCCCTCCTTAACTTCATTGCTCTCCTGCCCCTAGGACTGCTCCGCTGCTGCCTGCCGGCGGTTCCGCTGTGACGTCCCCTCCTTCGGCACCCAGGAGGAACTGGACTTCACCCTGAAGGGCAACCTCAGCTTCGGCTGGGTCAGCCAGGTGGGTGGGCCCAGCGGCAGAGCCCCGCCCCCCGCCTCCGCCTCCCGTGGGCCCTGAATGTCTGTGCCCGGCCTCAGTGGGGAGCGAGGGCATTTCCCTGACGCCGAGCTTTCCCCAGAGCTAGCTGCCAGCTCTCCTGCCCCTTTGCAGACTCTGCAGAAGAAGGTATCGGTGGTGAGTGTGGCAGAAATCACGTTCGACAGATCTGTGTATGCCCAGCTCCCGGGCCAGGAGGCGTCTCTGAGAGCCCAGGTAGTGACTGTGTGCTAGGCAGCAGCCAGGTTGGCGAGCGGCTTCTGATGCTAAATCCGTGTGCCAGGTGGGGGCTCACAAGGCTGGAGGGAGGGGGTGAAGATCCCTGGGGGGGACAGTTGTCCCTAAGCCCCTGAGGGCTTCTGTGGCTCAGCCCGTGGAGTCTGGCCCGGGGAGGCCGGGGAGGAGGTTAGAGGTTGGAGAGGCTGGGAGGAGCCGGGGCAGCCAGAGGCCCGATGCTTTCTGCTCCCGCATCAGATGGAGATGGTGCTGGAAGAGTATGAGGTGTATGACCCTCTGCCCCTCGTGGTGGGCAGCTGTGTGGGAGGACTGCTGCTGCTGGCTCTCATCACAGCGACGCTCTTCAAGGTGAGTGCTCCCCTCCCACACCTGGCGCCACCCGCAGCCGACCCAAGGCCTCCCACACTCAGGGTGGCCCAGCAGGAAGAGCACAGACCACGGAGTCAGGCCGGCCTGGGGCACATTTCGGCTCCGTCTTACCGCTTAATGTCAGGCAAGTTGCTCAAGCTCTCTGGGTTAGTTTCCCATTTTTGAAATAATAATAATAATGCCTGCATCACAGAGTGGCTAAAGCAAGACAGAAATGAGGCCAGGTTACGTCCGCAGGCCTGCCTGACCACGGACAGTATCTATGCTTTTTCTGCTCTGGATTATGTGTCTAACCACTGACCTTGAACACAGTGGCAACTGGGAACGTGCAGCTTGCTCACATAGTGTTCTGCACACCATGCAGTCAGCTTGGTTCCCCTCTCGCGCTTGGCTCCTTCCTCACTCCCAGCGTCTCCCCTGCCCTCTTACCCAGATCTTCTGTTTACTTCCCTTCACAGCTTGGCTTCTTCAAACGTCGGTATAAAGAAATGATGGCTGACAAGCCTGAAGAAGCTGCCATATTCAGCGGGGAGGCCCCCAGTTTGCCTTTGTCCTAATAGTCTGCCTCTCTGTTTATTTCTCCCCCATGGGCTGGTCTTGCTGAGCCTCTAAACCCACTTCCCTGGGGATGACTTCTGCCTAGAACGGACTGGCCTGAGGGACTCCCCGGGCGCCACACCCCCTCCCCAGGGCCTTGCCAACCTTCAGTGAGAGGCCCCTTTTACCCAAGCAGGCCCGAGGCCAGCAGGGATTTTCTTGTGTGTGAGAATTGCCACATTAAATGAGGATTTAAAATACGTTTTCCTTGAATGAAAGAGCTCTGATCCAGAGCACGAGTGCTGTTCTGGGAAGCAACCCTTTGTGTGTGGAGAGAATGTTCTCGCTCTTTCTCAGGTGAAGGCTGCCTCTGCCTTCTAGTGGTGGTGTGAGTAGGGTCAGGGGAGGAGGTGTGTGTGTGTGGTACTGGGGTTCAGCCCAGGCTCCGTGCCCCTTGGCCATGCACCCCGAGCAGACTGTCTTAGTGAGTGCAATGCCCAGAGCTGGTTTACCCAGTGCCCCCTCGAATGGGTTCCCAGAAGCTAGGGGAGCCAGGCTTCCAGAAGGAAGCACCTCATCCCCCAAACCAGCACAGAGGCCCTTACAGGTGGTCGTGGAGAACGGGGAGCATTCCCACTCGGAGCTGGGGCCCGAGCCTCCAGCGGGCTGCAGACCCTGTTTGAAATCAGGGTTGTTCCGTTAGCCGGACTCACGCATTCACCGCGAAAGCCTCGGCAGCCTGGAGCCCTCGTTATTAACACGTTATTAACACGTGAGCCAGGGAAAGCCTTCCCCACCCGCCCGCATCGAGCCTTGGGGGTGGGGGGGGACGCGTGGAAGCACGCACTGTGGGCATGCCCGGGCCGCCAGGAGGACCCCGAGAAGCAGGCCCGCCCGGTCCCTCCCGCCCGACCCGCCCGGTCCCGATCTCACGGGGTTGCACCACGGTACAACTCTATAATTGACCCGGGGGCTTCCAACGGGTCTCCAGGAAACTTCTAAGCCGTTTTAGGGGGTTGAGGTGGGATTTTGAAAAAAATGTTGTTGCCGTCCCCCCAGAAAAAGTGCTTGCAAAAGATCTGCAAAATCAAACCAGTCAACCCTAGGATATTATAAAAGACTTTATGATATAGAGTCTCAATAAGAATGTTCATGTGGTTTTGTAAT